ACCGTGAACGTTACTGGCAGCGGCACGAGCGGGTCCACGTTGTTCTCGGCTCGCTCGACGCTCGCCAGCGTTGCCTGTTCGAGCGTCGGAAAGGCCGTGACCCCGAGCCCGGCGGGCGTCGCGAGAAAGGTGAGGCCGTAGCGGCTCGAGTGGCAGAGGCAGCGTGGGCCGTTCTGCATGAGGACGTCCTTGGCGCCGTTGCGCGGGAAGACCTCCAGGCGGCCTCGCGCCAGCACGCGGACGTTCTCGACCTCGGTTTCCATGGGGACGAATGCAGGTCTGTCGTCAATCCAGGTTCATGCTGCGTTGTGATTGGCTGAAAAAGACACCCAACGTGGCAGCCCCCACGAGAAGAAGAAATCATCCGGATATGCATATTTACGACTGAGATCTTAGCGCATCTTGGTGAAGCTCGAGCTGTTGAAGCCACTCGTCTGGCCAAAGGCCGGCGCGCCACCACCAAAACCAGAGCTGGCCGCGCCAAAGCCGGAAGCAGCGCCAAAGCCCGTCGCTTGACCTTGGGCACCAAACCCGGTAGCTTGACCTTGGGCACCGAACCCGGTAGCTTGACCTTGGGCACCGAACCCCGTCGACTGGCCTTGGGCACCAAAGCCGGTAGCTTGGCCTTGGGGAGCGGCAAAGCCGGTAGCTTGGCCTTGGGGAGCGCCAAACGAGCCAAAGCTGGGTGCTTGGGCGGCGGCAAAGCCGGCAAAGCCACCGCCGGCCGGCGGGTTGGAGGCCGGTGCAGGCGCGGGCGCACCAAAGCCCGAGGGCGCACCGAACCCAGTGCCGAGCTGCGTCGCCGCGCCAAAGGCTGGTGTCGCCGTCCCACCGAGCGACGTCGTCGACCCAAAGGCGGGTGTGGCACTGCCAAACGAAGGCGCCGCCATCGAGTTGGTCGAGCCAAACGCCGACGTTGCGAGGGGCTGCGTCGCGCCAAACGCGGGACTCGAGGGCGCCGCACCAAAGCCCGACGTCGCGCCAAAGGCCGTATTGCCAAAACCAGACGTCGTGTTGCTGCCAAAGCCCGAGGTCGAGCCAAACGCTGCATTGCCAGTGTTGCCAAACGCGGTCGGCGCCGTTGTGTTGCCAAAGGCGCCGCCAAACCCCGTCGCCGGCTTGGAATCCACCTTGTACTTCAGCTCCAGGCTCTTGAAGAGCTTGTCTTCTTGGCCGCGGTACTTAAGAAGCACCGTATCGACCTCACTGAGCTTGGCCGGGTTGTGCTTGGTGTAAAACTCGACGAGGCGCGTCCGGTGGTCCTGCGCACCGCCAAACGCCGGTGCTCCAGCCGCGGGTGTCTGTCCAAAAGGACTCGGCGCCGCCTGATTAAACGGCGAGGCCGGTGCCGCGGCCTGACCAAACGGAGACGCCGGTGTCTGACCAAACGGACTTGGCGATGCTGTCGTCTGTGCAAATGGGCTGGCCACTGGCGACTGTGGCGTTGTCGCACTGGCAAATGGCGATGTCTTGGCAGGGGATGCCGGCGTCGGCTTGGCACCAAACGGCGACGCGTTCGACGCCGCGCCAAAACCAAAGCTCGTCGGTGGCGTGGCAGCCGATCGGAATGCCTGGCTCGTCGTCGCAGTGGCCGCCCCGGCGGCAACGAAACCCGTCGGTGCCGTCTTCAAAAGCGCCGCTGGGACGGTCCCCGTCTCGAGGTACTCCTTGGCGTGCTCGAGCGTCGCGTCTTGGCCCACGTACTTCTTCATCACCCGCAAAAACAGCTCGGGCTCCTTGCCCACGTTGTCGGCCACGAGCTTTTGCATCTTGGCGTCCGTCATGGTGTTGCCCGCAGCGTGCTTTTCGTAAAATGTCTTCATGCGCTCGACATAGTTGATCGCGGCGGCGGGTTCCGGCAGCTTAAAGTCCGTCGACGCGCCGAAAGCTGTCGGTTTCTTTGCCGAATGAAGAGGCGACTTGACGTCGACCGCATTCTCCGTTTTGGGCGTTGCCGACTTGGGCGTCGGGAACGAGAAACTCGAAGACTTCTGCGGCGTCTTGGCGTGGTTGGACGCCGTCGACATCTTGCGCGCACGCGGCGACTCGACGTCTTCCGACGACTCGCCAAACGAAAGCGACCCGAGCGAGATGGGCTTGCGCGCCGGAGACTTGGCATCACCTGCCTTGGACGCGCCAAACGAAAACGCGCCCGACGCAACCTTGATAGGCTTGGTCTTTTCCGCGGCCGGCGGTGCCTCGGTCGTCGTCGTAGGCTCTGTCTTGGGCTCCGCCTTGACTGCCGGCTTGAACTCAAACTTGGGCTCGACCTTGGCCTCCGCCTTGGGCTCCGACTTGACCTCGACCTTGCGCTTGGGCATCTGCTGGAACGAAATCGATCCGCTCGACGCCGCTTGCGTCGGGATAGACGTCGACGCCGACGAAAAGAGCTGGCTTGACCGCGGCTTGGGCGCCGGAGCTGGCACTGGCTCGGGCTTGGTCGTTAGAGTTTCGCGCCGCGGCGGCTGGCGGCGCACAGTGCTCGAGATTTCGCGCGGCGTGATCGAGGGACCCATAGCACCGAAGACGCTCTGAAGCTTGAGGAGGCTGTCGTCTTCTTGGCGAAGCTGCCGAAGGAGATCCTTCGTCGGCGCGATGGGGCCCGACGGAGCCTTTGTCAGGATGCGCGATTTGGCCTTGAGCGAGAGGTCCTTCATCTGGTCCGCGAGGTGCACAGCGCGGTTGTATTCACGCTTGGACGTTTCGTAGTTGAGCTTGAGAACCTTGAAGAGTTGTGCCGAGGTGTTTGGTCTACGCACAGAGATATTAATCGACAGGCATGAACAGCGGCAACAAGTACGTACGCAGTCACCGACGTCCCGTTCTCCTTCAGCAGGCAAATGTGCTTCTCCAGCTCGGTCGTATACCGATGGATGTCGTCAATCTTCTTGCGCAACTTCTCCCGCGTCGTCGCCGAGCGCTGGTCGAGTGGCTGATCTTCGAGCTGTGCCTTGAGCGTCTCGTCTTGGAGGCTGCGGAGAAGGCTCTTGGCGCATTCGATTTGGGTCTGCACATCGCTGCTGTTGCCAACGACGACTTGCACATGGTTTTCTGTCTTCTGGAACGTCGCGTCGAGCGCGTCGATGGTATCGCAGACGCCGAGAACCTTCTGGCGCAGCTGCTTGAGCGACGAAGTGAACGCAGTTTCGTTCGTCTGCGACGACTTGCACGGCTCGGCATCAGCTCGGATGGATTCGAGCGTCTTGTGGAAGCTATTGATGAGCACCCAGAGTTCGCCTTCCGCTGCACTCGACGGCTTGGCAATCGTCGGAGCAACGACCGTTGGTTCTGCAGCGCTCGACTTTGACGCACCGAAAGTCGGTGGCGACGCAGAGGCCTTGAACGAACCACTGCCGGCACTAGTCGCGGGAGACGAACTTGAGACGTTGCCGAAC